GTCTTATACACGGGAGTCGTCTTATATGCAGGAGTAGTCTTATACATGGGAGTCGTCTTATATGCAGGAGTAGTCTTATATACCGGGAGTTGAAAACTTCCAGTCTTATATGCCGGGTGCTGAAACTTCCAATCAGATTGGAGAATCTGTGGTTGCCGCATATGTGGGGGAGCTCAAAAATGGCAATGGCCACATCCCTGCCATATGCAGTGACTGTAGGAAAGCATTAAGGGTGATGCTGTACAAGTACGGTAGAAGAAAACCCATTCATCAGGATTTGTGGACGTAATGCGGTCCTGATGGTGAGGTGAAGGGGCGCCTCACCGGGAAATTTGTAAGTGAAGGGCAGAGTAAGCTGCAGGTGTCCGGGGCGCCTTGGGTATGGAAAAAATAGATGGAGTGGCTCTGGGCCCAGACAAACACACCTCTTTTACCTGTCTGGTCTGCCCTTGTAACCTGTTACCGTACCTCCTCCTCTGCCTCTCAGATCTCGCTCCTGAAGACTGGAGTGAAGTGGTGCAGGTGTGCATGTGCGAGATCTGGAGGCAGAGAAGGAGGTACAGTAATAGGAAAATTACCATATTGAAATCAAATCTGATGCTTTTTAAATTTTTATTTGGTGTGCATTGGAAGAGGGGTAGTTTTATACGGAAAATATATCCCAAACTCTATATTTTAACTGGAAAAGTTGGGGGTTGTCTTATATGCCAAAATATATGGTATATAATGACATAAAATCTGAACAAACGTCTATAGTAATTTACAGAAGCCAACCGGAGTTCACAAAGTTGTGTGGGTTAGTTGTGTGGCCTATGGTGGTAAATTGGGCTGACATAGACTAGCAGAGCCCAGATACAAAATAGTTATCAACCAGGGCCATGTAGTGGTCACTCATTGACTAATCCTCCTTCTCTCCATATGTTAGTGAGCAGAAGTAGGTCTTCAGTTGTTTTTGGTACACTTTTGCGGCACAATTCAAACATGTATATTTAACTTAGGTTCTTTTACTAATGGTATTAGTCATTTTGTTATTTTACTGTATGGAAGGATACTATGAGGAAACCCTGATTACCAAGGGCAAAGAATATAAACTCCTCAAAATATATGTGGTTGCTAATGACTGGATGGCCATAGGAAACAAACAAGCTGTTTGTTCTGTTAATCTAGTACTACATGGAATATAGAGTTACTGTATGTAACATAGAACATTGAACTAAAGCATGTCATGCTTTTGTGAGGGTTTTAATATAGATCCAAAAAAATTAAAACCCAAACCAGAACAGATGAATTTTGTTGTTGTTATTTTTGTTTTGTTTTTAGAAAGTTCATCACAGTGTTACAGATTTTGTTTTCAAAACTTTTTTGATGTTTATGCTGTTAACTTCAACAGAGTTGTTGTTGGCATCAGTTCCCATTCATGGGACTGATAATTGCAGTAGCTACATGACAGTCAGGACTCTCATTTTACAAGATTCTCAGATATCCTAAAAATTAAATAAAGGATAAGACCAGGTAATTATTTTCCACCACAAAGACATTAAAATCTGTAGCATTTGTTACATAAAGATCATAGTGTTCTTGAACTTTTCCATACCTGAACTTCTCTCTGAATTTTTGTTTTGCTTCTGAAGTCTTTTTTCTGAAGTAGAAAGTAAAGAATCCCTTTTCAATTTTTGATGTTCATTTTTATAGACTATACTACCCCCCATGGTAGCTATATGCACATCTCCCACATCCACTTGATACAGTTTTTAGGCAATGTGAAAGGCGACAGTGGGGATGGAGAATTTTCTTTCATGTTGGCAGTCCGGCTCCAGTATCCTGCCAGAATTTATCCATTAGTATGTACTTTTCATACATCGATTTAAAAAAAAAAAGATTAAGGAGTAAAATCCCTGAAGTTACTGACTAGTGTTAATCATCCACTGTTAACATGCTCAATGTCATCTGCATGGCATGTTATAGATACATTTCAGAACACAGTGTTTACAGCAACAGATGATTTTTTAAATATATTTCTACTGACATCTCAGAAGCTCCTCCAGTTTTCATGACATTTTCTGAAGTCACTTGAGCTGCTTTCTGTGTTCTATTTTGGATTTACATAGAGCTGATTCAGAACTATTTAAGTCACTTTCTCTTGCCAAAAAATGATTTTGCAAATGAATAATCAAACACATTTTACCACGTCATTTGCTTTCTCCATTAATTGTGCTTGCTGCAAATTCTAAAACCCTCTATAAAGGCAATTTTAGGAAAACAAAAGCTTTTGTTCATTTCTTTGGTCCCATCTACATATGCTGTAAAATCCAGAACAATATGGATTATAAGGGGGGTGGCTCATCCAATGGGCTGCTGTAGTCCAGCACATTTTTCCAAATGGGATATGAAAAAAAAAAGTTCTGTTGGATCAATTCGGCATGAGATGAGCTTTTTGGATACCACAGAAGTTTTTCACGGTTCCCAGGATGCATGTGGAGACTTTCCAGAGTAGAACTGGATTTCTCAAATCTACATTCTGATGCCATATAATATCCATATTATCTGCTTTGAACTGGATTATATAGCAGTATAGATTCATATAATTCAGTTCAAAACAGATGTTGTGGATTAAATGCCTTGATAATCTGGATTATATGGCAGTGTAGAAGGGCCTTACCATAAAGTTGTGTAGACTTGTATAATTCAGTTCAAAGCACTTAATCTGCATTCTGAAACTGGATGATATGGAAGTGTAGATCCAGCCTTAGTCTACCCTCTTTTTTGTTCCTGCTTTGAAATTAGTAGCAATTTCTTTCTTTTCCAAAATTAGATCTAGCGGAATCTGAAAAATTCAAACATGGGAGAAATCAAAATAGGAAATTTTATTCCATGTTCAGATTAGAATTTTGCAAAAATGAAACTATCACCTGTAATGATTTGAAGCTGTTCCATTCACCTTCTCAAGAAGCTATTTGGGTGAGTTGCTTAGAATCCTTATGCCAAACCAATTGGGTTTTTTGTCATGTGGTATACAATTTATTTATTTGGAGTGCTTCTACCTCACCCTTCTCAACCCCCTAGGGGGGACTCAGGGTGGCTGTTTATACAATGTTTATACAAATGAATTTATGACACTCCACAATGTCTGTTGCCATAGACATTTTGTGATGTTGGAGTAATTCATTTCTTTACAAAATTTATATCATACAAATGAATTTATGATATAATGTCAAGAAAGAAAACAAAAGAAAATCAATTAAATTAAGCAGACACTCTTAACATCTGTACCAAAATAAAAGAGGGACAATAAATTCAGACAATAAATAGAATACTGTAGCTCTGGGTAAAAAATTAAAAGGCTTTTGATGTGATTTCTTTTTTTCCTTCCTTTTTTGGATAGCTTTTGTAGCAGATTGGATACTTCTTGAGCTAAATTCCAGAACTCATTCGGAATCGGCTTCAGTGTGTTTATAGTTATAATTGTCTGAGATAATGTGTCAGAGAGCACACTTCAAACAGATTATTGTGTGTAGCAAGCTATCTAAATACTTTATACCTGAGCCACGTCTTGGCTCTTTTGGCAGTAAAGGTGTATTTTCTTTCCCTTGATTTCCCTCCTGGAAATTCTTCAAAGTCTGCTTAACAATATGATGAATATTGAATACAATCAGAAAATTGACTTTGTACTATATAATATTATTTTCAACATATTCATACTTATTATATACTTTGTTAGAGGATTTAAATCATGAGCAAGGCAATGAAAAAAATAAAAATAGCATGTTTTTATAGTTTTATTGTAACCTTCAGTGTTAACATTATCTATTTCAAAGGTTTGCATGCTCAATTTCCCTCTGCCTCTCCTCCTCTCTCTATATACGAATGCATGTACATACCTGTACAGTAGTCAAATACTTTAGCTGCTAGATCTTTGTGAAGTATCCTTTGCCATGTCTGTTTATGTGTTCATTTTTTTCTGAATCTATGCTGATTTACTGATGTAAATTAGAAATATTTTTATAATACTGACCGGCCTAAGTATCAAGAGGAGGACTCATTTCTCCAAGCGTCTTTAATATGATAATCACTGGATAGCCATCATTATCATTAGGTAAAATTTACCAAATTCATTTATTGTTTTTGCTGTTGAGGAAGGAGGGCAGATATTTAAGTTTCTTAGATAATGATTATGGGTGAGGTAATGCACATTTAACAAAAGCAGGAAAGTATAGGCTTTAGGTCAAACAAAAACTTTACAAATAAGTGACATCCCTGAATATATCCACTACCTGTGGATATAAAAGACCTGGCTATTATCTGCAATTGTGCTGTGTGTCATTTCTCTGTGGAGTTTGGCCTAAGCTTAGCAAAGCTTGAGTAAGTCTGTTGATGGGATTATGTGTACACTTTAAAATTCCAGTCTTTGCTTGACTGAACCTACTGTAGGTTCATATAATTTTATGCCACTGTATTTTTTTTTCTTCCAGATTTGAGAATGAATTTGCATACCTAAATTACTTACATTGTAAAACCAGTATTGTACTGAACACTTCACTAGAATTCCAGTAGATGTTATGAATTAGTAGTACGCCTTAGATTATTATTACTGGAGTATAATGTGTCTGGTCTAAAACAAATTTTGGATTCATTTGGATAATCTTATATAGGATTCTGTTTAGTTTTGTACTATCTTGCCACATAATACCATGGACAGTAATTTGGCATGAACAAAAGTAGAGCTTTTGAAAAATAAAGTTTGGGATATTGAAACTGCATATTTAATCTACTGGAGTTGCAGACTCCCTAAGGCACTAAGAGTATTTGATTGCTAGCTGGCATGGTATGTGATACTCTAATTCCAATTATCGTTTTTACAGAGCCCAAATTGAAGAGAGAATAATTTCAAAGGTTTTGACGGACTGTCAGTCTGTCACTACTAAATTTTAGTGTGACAGGTAACTTGGTTTTCATGTGGTGAAGCCTATCATTAAATTATTTTTATATTCATGTTTTAACAGATTAAAGGTTCTGTGTGGACGGCTACGAGTTGTGTTCGTTTGAGGTTGGACAAGAACTTCTAAGTTTTGGAAGCTGAAGATGTTGTTACTATGGAAACAAATGTTCCTGCTTTCCTTTATTGGCTGCTTTGGAGGTAAAGATATATGTTAATCTATAATTTCTAAATTAGAGCACCAGCTGAGTAATTTCTTTCAAATAGCATGCTAGAATAGTAAAGCTAATCCTCTCACTCCATTAAATGTAAGTGTGTATTAGAAAACTTAAATATTAAGAATTTTTGATGTTTTTCAAAAAAATATTTCTCATGCAGTGTTTCAAGGAAGAACACATGAGCCTTAATACAATTGTTATTTCCAGATATAGTAGCTTAAATGAATCTATACAATTATTAAAAATATGTATTTACTAAGTTCCCACTGATGTCTACTAGTGTCTCCACTCTCATTGAGAATATCATTTGCATTTGAGCTCTGATTATGGCAAAACAGACAAACACAAGCTAGGAGGCACTCCCTAAAAAGATTCAGAAAAAAAGATATTGTAGTGACTGCGAAAGACTATCCTGGGGCATATAATACAAAGAATGCTGAGATACTGAATATATAAGCCTCAACTTTAAAATATGATAACCAAGTCACTGTGCAAACAACAAGCTATAGGTATGCAAGCAGTACAGCCGCAACAACAGACACAGTTTGAAAATTTGTAGGGGAGTTCTGTAACTATAAAATGGTTTCTGCACAGCTTGACAATTAATTTTTTCTTGAAAGTAGGAAGAACTACATGGATGAGGTGAATATTGAATTGCTGTTTTTTTTTTTAAAAAAATGTAGGAAAGTCTACTCCTTTTTATGCAGATCTTACCCAGATGAAATTCATCTTAATATTTATGTACTCATGAACAACCAATAAAAATATAAACACATTACTGAGTATGATATAGCTACTTGAACTGAAGAAGACATTATTTCAAAAGGTAAAATACATTTTTAATTCATTGACAATGGAATTTATATTTCTGATTGGCGCCATATATGTATCTTATTCAAAGACTGGCATTTAACTTTGTTGTAGCTATTTCAAAGCTTTGATCACAAGAAGATAAAGTAAAGTTGGACCTCCATATTTGCAGGCATAACTTTTGTGGATAGGATAAATATGTTTCTCTCTAGCAATTTTGAGACCCTTCAGTGTGATTTTATGGTCAGCTGCTTGCAGAAGTTGATCAGAGAGCCACCCTGGAAGACCTTAGCTATTTCTAGAGCAGTGGTTCTTAACCTGTAGGGCCCCAGGTGTTTTGATGCCCTACAACTCCCAGAATTTTTTTCTCCTAAAAAATCAGGTTGATATAGCTTGAGAGTGCTTTTGGTTCCTGCACTGTCCCTATATAGTTTGCTGACTGATCATAGAGAACATGTTTGCAGACTGCATGTGTTGTTACAATTTCAATTGTTAAAGCAAACAAGATATTTTCTCCTGATAAAAAACAGTTCTTGCATATTTTAGAACAACTTTATACAAATTATGCAAAGTCACAATTGCCACTGCCTTATTGTTGGAACTTCTACAAATTTGTAAGTGAGCCTGTTACAGATATACTTCAGATGGATTGCTTGCTTTTTTTTCCCATCACCAAGCAGTCTGTTTGTCCTGGGTGTTTATGTATGATTTGCTCCACAAAGGGAGCAGACAAATGTTTTGTGCGGAGAGTTTCTGCAAAAATTGCAGAAACCTACACATAATGTAGAAATTATTTATCTTTTAACAGACAATTTTGATTGATGCAGATAACTGCTTTTATTGAGAACAAGAAATTCAGCTAATATTTTTCATGTCCCTAGATAGATGTAATTTTGTAGAACTGTTGTGTCACTACAGTTAAGTCTCAGAATGCAGCCTATGGAAATATGTAAATGGAATAATAGCAATAACATGTTATCATGGTTGTTTTTACAGTACACCGGATTAATATTGGAATTTATCTAATTTGGGAGTTCTAATGGTAGAATAAGCAATTTGCAAGACAGAACAGGGGATTCAATAGTAAGCCAAGCTCAAATGTGCTGTGAGAGTTTAAGTGCCCTTTTAAATAATTGAAAGCTGCATTACAGGGCAGTTAGGATGGATCTGCACTGCCTTATAATGCAGTTTAAAATCCAGATTAACTGCATTGAATTGGATTATATGAGTTCATTCTGTCATATAATCCAGTTCAATGAAGTTAATCTGGACTCTGAAACTGCATTATATAGCAGTGTAGATGAGGCTTTAATCTAAGGTGGGATCACACAATTTCTTCAGTAAAGACATTCTCCCGCTGCGAGTTAATTCAGGAAACGACATGCAGAATCTTACTTTTCCTAGTAAAAGCAAACTGCTCTACCTTTTTCGATCTTGTCTGCTCTTCCTTTTGGAATCTTAATGAAAACTTTGGTGTTGCATGACCACAAATACCCCAGTTTTCATCTCTGAAATGTTGGAGCGATTGTACACTTTCTTTTCCTTCCTTAATAATGTTGAAGATGGAAAGGCCATGCAAAGTATTCGAAGTATGGGAGTAGGGGGAACGAGCTGAGATTTCAAGTCTTGAATATGGAGGACTTTCTTCTCCATCCTTTGGACCTCAGAGAATGCCCTGTGGAAACAGTTGGAGTGCCAGATCAGTTTGTAATTTATCACAATAAAAATATGACAATGTTATGGTCATCAGTTTGAGAATGTTCATGCTTATTTCTCCCTCTTTTTTAGAGCTAAAGTACAGAACAGATTGAACCACATGAGTTAGTAATTGTGCCTATACATTGACCTAGCCATATTTTATAATACATAACTATTCTGATTAGTTTTGCCATGTAATGCATAATTTACACTTACATTGACTAATAAAATCATGTCAAAAGAATAAGCCACTGTTTGTTGAGGTACAAGAAATTTAATTTGAAGAATGTTATGTTTATTGCAGATGGGATTTTAATTAATACATTTTATAAATTACTTTTACAAATTATTCATTGACAAAAACGTTCTAGCTTCTTAATTCACTGTCAGCTTGAATAAAATTAAAATACAGCTTGTAGGAAACTTTACCCTTATGTGTATGACTAATTATTCAACCCTTGTTTTGCTTTTTCTTGTCCCTAAAAGATTTTCAAGTTTCATAAGCATAGAAAAATATTGTAGTTTTCCCCCTACAATATAACCCCCACTGTATCTATCGGGGATAAGTTCCCAGACTTTGCATGGATAAGTAAACCACAGATAATAGTGAACCCTACCGGAATGATAGGCTTCTGAATGGAGAATGCCACAGAGTTGTGCTGAAGGGCCTAGAAGATGCCTACAGGTGACATATTTTGTCAGATATGTACAAATGGAACGTGGATAGTAGTCCGGCGAATACAGAGATCATACTGTACTAATTCAAACCATTCAGATACAACTTGAAGTCATATTTTGCTTCTTTCCTCCACCATATAAAGCAATATGAATGCTTAGAAAAGAATTCATAGAATCATAGAATCATAGAATCAAAGAGTTGGAAGAGACCTCATGGGCCATCCAGTCCAACCCCCTGCCAAGAAGCAGGAATATTGCATTCAAATCACCCCTGACAAATGGCCATCCAGCCTCTGCTTAAAAGCTTCCAAAGAAGGAGCCTCCACCACACTCCGGGGCAGAGAGTTCCACTGCTGAACGGCTCTCACAGTCAGGAAGTTCTTCCTAATGTTCAGATGGAATCTCCTCTCTTGTAGTTTGAAGCCATTGTTCCGCGTCCTAGTCTCCAAGGAAGCAGAAAACAAGCTTGCTCCCTCCTCCCTGTGGCTTTCTATCACATATTTATACATGGCTATCATATCTCCTCTCAGCCTTCTCTTCTTCAGGCTAAACATGCCCAGTTCCCTAAGCCGCTCCTCATAGGGCTTGTTCTCCAGACCCTTGATCATTTTAGTCGTCCTCCTCTGGACACATTCCAATTGTACTTACTAGTGTCATGAAGCCTAAAAAAATCTGAATAGATCCTTTTTGAAAATTTCATAGTCTGAAACAAAAATGTCTCCAAACCAAGAGAGTCTGTATAGCAGGCCATATGGGAACATGACTTCTTCTTCCCATTCCTTGACAGTCCTTTTGTCAGTACCAGGCTCCACAAATATTCTGAACCTCAACTTCTATCACCCCCAGCTAACACAATATTCTAGGTCTAGACTTTCCTTCAACTGCTGGGATTAGCATCTGACAGAGCTAATGTAGAGCTGGGTGAAATAATTAAACAGAAGGGCCAATACAGAAATTGGTGAAGACAGCCATTATTGCTTGCCCCATGCTGCTTAATGGTATGGATCTGATATCTGTGACTCGTTACAGAGGAGGAGCATCTAATAGTTACTATCAAACAAATTCTTAAGACATTTAGAGTAATATAATACATTAAAATGCCAACTGCTGCATTTTTTGTTCATAGTTTTGATAGAATGTTAAAGGAAATGCATAATTTTGAAAGTTTCCCGGCTAATAAACCTGAGGCAATAGCTCTGCATTGCAATATTTTTTAGCCTTTTTTTGATGTGGTCAGCTAAATTCTGGAGAAATGGAAATACTTCTAGTTGTCACTTAAAAACGCTGACCTCTAACAGATGGACATATTTTGGATTATCTTTGCTGATACATTATTTTCTATCTTGAGTTGCTTTTTTCCTTGTCATTTAAATCTTAATAGCTTATCAAAGTGAGGCTAGAAGGCTTCTTAAACTTCAGAGACTGAAACAGGTTGACACTTGCTTTATTTATTTGTTTATTTATTTTGGAATAAAATCTTGAGAACTAGCTCCTTGGTATAATTGGGATGACTATGCCACTTGACTCCTGCAAAACAACACTTAAAGGCAGCTTGTATTTTATGCAAGCAAGTATATTAGGTGTTTTATGCTTCTTTCATGTGTTTAACTGCTGCTATTAAACATCAGCTAAAAAAATAAACCTCATGCAAACTAAACTGGGATCAAGGACAGCACTCACCATGTTAAAGCCATGCATTTGTATACCAATGCATCTTACAGTCTTCTTTGAAAAACAAGCTTTGGGAGCACTTTTTGTGTATGTTTTTTATGTTAAGGTATTTCTTGTTTAAGAAAA